GATAGTGTATTTATAAAACTCTATAGAGTCCACCAAAAAACTACTTGACCTAAGAAGTGAATTTGGGAAACAGTGGTATACAAAGTCAATATTCAGAAATCTAAGACATTTTGTACACCAACAATGAAACATCAGAAACAGAAATTAAGAAAATACCCCATATGCTATAGCTACAAGAAAAATGAAGTACCTAGGAATAAACCTACCAAGAACATAGAAGACCTGCACTCAGAAAACTATACAACACTGAAAACAAGTCAAGGCAGACACAAATAAATGGAAGCTTATACCATGTTCATGGATTGGAATAATTAACATCATCATATTAACATCAATTAATAAAATATCTATACAATTTATAGATTCAACACAATCCCTGTTAAAATACCAATGATACACTTCACAGATATAGAACACACATTTCAAAAATTTATGTGGAACCATAAACAAACCTGAATAGCTGCAGCAATTTTGAGAAAGAAGAACAAAGTAGGAGGCATCACAATACCTGATATCAATCCATAGTAAAAGGCAACTGTAATCAAAACAGTCTGGCCCTGGCTGGTGTAGCTCAGTGGATCGAGGGCCAGTCTGAGAACCAAAGAGTCACAGGTTCGATTCCCAGTCAGGGCACATACCTGGGTGTAAGACAGGTCCTCAGTAAGGAGTGTGTGAAAGGCAACCACACATCGATGTTTCTCTACTCTCTTTCTCCCTCCCTTCCCCTGTCTGTAAAAATTAATTTAAAAAACTGTCTGGTACTGGTATAAGAACAGACACACAGATCAATGAAACAGAACTCAGAAAAAAAAACCTCATAATTCAGAAAAAAAAAACTATGTCTGTGTGGTCAATTAAAATTTGACAGGGGGTAGAAGCATAAAATTGATTAAAAATAGCCTCTTCAACAAATGGCTTTGAGAGGTCTTACACCACACACAAAAATAAACTCCAAATGGATAAAAAACAAATGTAATTCACAATACCATGAAAGTCCTAGAGTAGAACATAGGCAGGAAAATCTCAGATATTTCACACAGCAATATTTTTACTGATATGTCTCCTAGAGCAAGAAACATAAAGGAAAGAATAAACAAATGGGATCTCATCAAAATAAAAATCTGCACATCTAAAGAAAACAGCATTAAAATCAAAGGAGAATGAACTGTATGGGAAAACATATTTGCCAGTGATACCTCGAACAAGGGTTTGATCTCCAAAATATATAAAGAACTCACACGAGTCCACTCCAAGAAGACAAACAACCCAATTGAAAAATGGGCAAAAGACTTCAACAGACACTTCTCCAAGGAGAACATACAGAGGGCCCAGAGACATATAAAAGGATGCTCAGCATCACCAGCCATCAGAGAGATGCAGATTAAAACTGCAGTATATACCACTTCACACCATTGAGAATGGCCATCATAAACAAAGCAGCAAACAAGTGCTGGCGAGCATGTAGAGAAAAGGGAACTGTGGTACACTGTTATTGGGAATGCAGACTGGTGCAGCCACTTTGGGAAACAGTATGGAATTTCCTCAAAAAAACTGAAAATGGAACTGTCTTTTGATCCAGCAATTCCAAAGGGATTGATGGAATCCTGAAACACCAATTTATAAGAATCTGTGCACCCCAATGTTCATAGTAGCACAATTTACAATAGCCAAATATTGGAAGCAACCTATGTGCCCCACAGTAAATGAGTGGATCAAAAAACTATGGTACATTTACTCAATGGAATACTATGCAGCAGAAAGAAAGGAGCTCCTACCCTTTGCAACAGCATGGATGGATCTGGACAGCATTATGCTAAGTCAAATAAGCCATGCAGTGAAAGAGAAATACCATATGATCTCAGGTATAATTGTAACCTAATCAACAAAACAAACAATCAAGTAAAGTACAACCAAAGACATTGAAATAAAGAAGAAACTGACAGTCACCAGAGGCAAGGGGGAAGGGATAATGGGGACAAAAGGAGAAGAGGGTTGTCAAGGAACATGTATAAAGTACACATGGACAAAGCCAAAGTGGGTAGGATCAAGGATGGGTTGTGGTGATGGGTGGGTCAGAAGGTGATGGTGGGGGGAAATGGAGACAACTGCACTTTAATAGTAATAATAATAATAGAACCACAGAGCAAAATATTACCACAAACATTGAAATAAAGAACAAACTGACAGTGGCCAGAGGGGTACGAGGAGGGGAATAACGGAGGAAAGAAGGTGAAAGGTCCTCGGGGAACATGCATAAAGAACCCATGGACAAACCAAAGGGTTTAAGTTTGAGGATGTGAGGTGGGGGTTGGTGGGGCGGGGTAGATGGGTAATCAGGGAATGGAGACAACTCTACCTGAACAATAAAAAAAAAGCTTAGGAAAAGAAAAATAATTTTAAAACAAAAAAATTAGAGAAATTGAGTAAGAAAAGAGAGCATAAGAGATATAAGATAAGAAAAGAAAAAATGAAAATAAGATTATAAATATGTGGCATTAGCCTCAGCAGAATGTTGTGCTCTGCAATCACCCTTTGGATGTTGCTGTTTGTGAAGCCTGTTGGATTTTGCTCTGGTGTTGTCCAACGCTGGCCACTTGTGCCAGTCCTAGGCCTCTTGAGAGTTTCTTTGTTGTAAACCAATGTCAGACGCTGTCCCCACCCAGCCCTTTGCAAACTGGTGAAAGAAAAGCTTCTAGTAGAGCAGTGGGTGAGGCCTCTGGATCCCAGAATTTTGGTCTGCCTTGAGTCCCCCTTTGAATGTTTCTGCTCTGAGTTGCTCTTCCTTCCCTCACAGAACTGCACTCATTGGGGGTATCCATGACCTGGCAGGAGTGGTTCAAAAAGCCTCTGGTGTGGTGCTGGCACCCTGTAAGGGATGGGGTTCTTCCTCTTCTTGCCTCTGCTTCTTTGTAATGCAGTCACAGAGCCCAGCATACTCTGGTCTGAATCTGAACAGAAGCCCGCCTGGAAGACAGTTATAAAAACCCAGCTCTGTGTGGCTTGCCAGCACAGGCCACTGGTATGAACATTTTTGTAAAACTTTTGTGTGGACATATGTTTTCATTTCTTTGGGTATATGAGTGAAATTGCTATATCATAGGTCGTGGTATGCCTAACTTTTTGAGTAACTTTCAAGATGTTTTCCAAAGTGACCATGTCATTTGCAACACCAATATATATGGGTTTCCATCTCCCTACATCCTCTCCAATACTTGTTATTATATATCATGTAGATTATAAACATCCCAGTGGTGGTAAAGTGGTACTGCTTGTGGTTTCGATTTCCATTTCCTTAACGACATGATGTTATAAAAGAGGCACCAGAGAGCTCCCTTATCTTTTTCATTATGCGGGGACACAGTGAAAAGATGTGCATCTGTGAATCTGAAAGCAGGCCCTCATAACACCAAATCTACTAGTATCTTGATGGACTTTTTATTCTCCAGAAGAGGGAAATAAATTTGTCTTGTTTATAAGCCACCAACAATGATGTTCTGTTATAGCAGCTCAACAAGATTAAGACAAGTCCTTTATCAGATGTTATTTGAAAACAGTTTCTCCCATTTTGTAGGTTTTCTACTTTCTTAATGGTCTGCTTGCAAACAGTTTTTATTTTTGAAGTTCATTTGTTTTATGTTGTTTTTGCTTTTGCTATGTTAAGAAATCATTAATCCAAGGTTACAAAGATTTACGTTTTGTTCTAAGCACAGAATGTTATGTTATGTTTTAGCTCTAAGATATTTCTGCAACAATTGATATAACCATATAATTTTGCTTTTCCTTCTAATATTTTTATTTAACCTCCACAAGGCAGATAAATTCCACTTATGGTATATAATCCTTTTAATAGGCTGCTGAATTTATTACCATATTATTATTGATAATATTGTGTTCAAGAAATGTGAAGTTATATTCATAATGGGTATTGGCCTATAGATTTTTTTCTTGCAGTGTCTTTATTTTGCTTTGATATTAGGTTAATGTTGACCTCATTAAATGAGATTGGAAGTATTCTTTCCAATTTGTTTTTGGAAAGAGTTTGAGGAGTAATGGTGTTAATTTTTTTTAAATGTTTGATACAGTTCACCAGGGAAATCATCTGGTTTTGGACTTTTCTTCATTTGGATTTTATTGATTACTGATTTAATTTTTGTTGTTACTAGTCTATTCATAGTTTCTGTTTCTTCTTTAGTTGGTTTTTGTAGTTTGTGTATTTATAGAAGTTTGTCCATTTATCAAGGTTATCAGTTTGATTGGCTTAAATTGTAGTATTCTCTAATAACATTTTTTGTTTCTGTAAAATTGATAGTAAAGTTGCTAATTTCACTTCTGATTTCAGTAAGTTGAGTTCTCTCTCTCTCTCTCTCTGTCTCTCTTATTTATTTATTTTTAAAAATATTCACCCAAGGATATTCTTTTACTGATTTTAGAAAGAGGAGAAGGGAGAGAGAAAAAACCCCCATAAATGTGAGAGAGAAATACTGGTTTCCTCCTATATGTGCCCTAATAAGGTACCCACAACCTAGGTATGTGCCTTGAGTGAGGATCAAACCCACATCCTTTTGGTGCACAGGACAATGTTCCAACCACCTGAGCCACCCAGGCAGAACTCTCTGTCTCTCTCTTTTAAGTTGTCACTCTACCTAAAGGTTTATTAATTTTGCCAATATTTTCAAAGAACCAATTTCTGCATTTGTTCATTTTTAGTGTTTTTATTCTTTATTTTGTTTAAATAAGCTCTTAATTATTTCCATCAACTGATAGCTTTGGGTTTAATTTGTTCTTTTGATAGTTTCATATGATATAAAATTAAAATATTGATTTGAGGTCTTCTGTTTTTTTGAAGGCCATTGATTTTATTGATTAAAAAAACTATATAGATAATTCTTTGGCAAAAGAGAAGCCAAATAGTATAAAATGAACCAGAGAAGAAAGTAGGAATGAGGGAAGGGGCCAGGAATCCACTCAGAAAAGTTGATAATTATTGACCTGAAACTGGCAGGAGGAGAACGAAGATGCATGTAAGAGCAAGAATTCCAAAAAAGTTGAAATGGTGAGATGAGAGAATTTCCCTGAAGACTCAGAGGACCTCCTCTGGAGGACCCAGAGGACCATAGGTGAGTACACAGCAATAATTTCTTCTGTAGAGGACAAGGGTGGGGCCCCAACTCAGATGTAAACTCTGGAGACTCAAGACTGGGGTTAGGGATTGTGGGCTCCCCAGAGAGTGTCACAAGAAGGCATAACACCACTCTTGAAGGCATGCAAGCCAGTTCCAAAACTGCTTTGCTTGCCACATGTGTTCTTTAGCCATTTCCAGAAGAGGTCTTCATCTTTTTTTAGCACCAGAAACTGGCCAAGGACCATCCAGGCCTTGTCAAAGCCCCTTTTTTCCAGCTTCTTGCCCATGATTTCACCAACCACAGCCAGGTTCTCCACTGGCTGTTCCCCCATGGGTTCTATTACAAAGTCTGGGTGCTTTTTAGAGGTTGTCATCTTGATCAGAATTAATCTCCTTTGTTTTCCAGACCAGGTCCTGCTCACCAGCAGCTCCAGCTCCCAGAACATCTCTCTTTTTTAATGTAAATGTTTACAGTGATGAACTTCCCTCTTTGCACTTATTTTGATGCATCCTATAAATTTTGGTATGTCATGTTCTTATTTCATGTGTCACAAGATATTTTCTAATTTTTCTTATAATTTATTATTTTTTGTATTGTTTACAAATATGTTTAATGTCTACATGTTTGTGGACTTTTCACTTATTCTGTTGATTTCTAGTTTTATTCACTAGGCTTATTGTTCTTTATAATTCTTTGTATGTTGTATTTTCACTTTCATTCATCTTAAGGACTTTTCTCATTTTATTTTTGATATCTTTTGTAATGTATTGATTTTTAAAGGTGTGTTAATTTCCATATGTATGTGAAATGTCCTATTTTCCTACTATTATTTCTAGTTTCATTTTATTTTGATTCATAAAGAAACTTGATATATCTTTAGTCCTTTAAAATGTATTAAGACTTTCTGTATGATTTATTATATAATCTATCTTGGAGCATACTCTGTACATTTGAGAAAAAATACTCTAATGTTATTGGGTAGAGTGTCTGTTAGGCCCAGTGGGTTTATAGTGTTAATCCTCTATATTCTTAGTGATATTCTGTCTCATTGTCTTGTTTATTATTAAAAATGGAGTATTAAAGTCTTCAGCTACTATTGTATAACTATTTCTACCTTCAATCATGTCTTTTTTACTTCATATATTTGGGGGCTGTGTTTGGTCATGTTATGGACTGAATGTTTGTTTGCTTCCCAAATTCATATGCTGAAGCCTTAAGCCCTAATGTGATAGTATTGGGTTGGCCAAAAAGTCTGTTTAGTTTTTTTTCTATAAAATACAAGACACATTTTTCATTTTTACCAGTAACTTTATTGATTTGGATATTTTGAGTATGTCAGCTATCTCCTGTTTGGTATAACATTGATTGTTCTCAATGTTTTGATTTGATCACTATCTGCTTTAACTGGCCTACCTGACTGTGGAGCATTATCCAGTAAGAAATCTCCAGCATGAAACTTTGCAAAACACTTTTGACACATTTGATCAGTCATAGTACCTTCTCTATACACTGCATAAATCTTTTCCCTTTTTTGCATTTCAGTTGCATTTTTACATTTCTTCAAATAGTAAAGTGTAATTTGCAAAAACTGTGTATTTTCATCCATCTTTAATATTAAAATGGTTATGTATAAATTCATTAGTTTTGATAATTTTTTAAATGTATGTTGAGATGACAGCTGTCATAATACAATCCAACAAAACTGTTTCAAATGAGTTAAAGACAACTAAATGCTCCCAGAGCCAGCTTACAGAAAAAAACAAGTGAACTTTTTGGCCAACTCAATATTTGGTCATGGGGCCTTAGATGGTAATTAGGGTTAGTTGACATCAGGAGGTGGAGATCTCATGATAGGGTTAGCTCTTTTATAAGAAGGGACATCAGAGAGCTTGTTCATTCTCTTTTTTCATGTTTAGACAAAGAAGAGGTCATATGAGCACCCAGCAAAGAAGCAGCCATCTACAACTCAAGAGGAAAGCCCTTGTTGGAAACAGACTGGCACCCTGAGCTCTAAATTTTGAACTTCAAAAGTGTAAGAAAGTAATTTCTCTCTTGAAACCACTCACTCTATATTTTATTGTGGCATCCCCAGCTGAGTAAAACAGTACATGTATGTTTATAAATTTTTATATCTACTTGATGTATGTAAACCTACTTGTATGAAGGTTTAATGAATATCTATGCCCGACTGCAGAGATAATGGAATAAAAACTGCAGTGATCATGTGCAAAAAGAATACACAATTTGCAAAAATAGTTATCAGAAATCGCTAAACAAAGGGTGGCTTCAGTCCTCAACAAGTTAAGCTCAGCAATATGTTAGGAAGAGAAGATTTTGATTTTCAGAATTACAGCTTTATATTACTTAAAATGTCCAGATATCAACATAAAAGTATACAGTATACAAAAAAAGGAAAGTATGTCCCACTCATATGTATATATGAATTTGACAGAAACTATCACAGAGGAAACCCAAACATTGGAATAACTAGTCAAAAACATTCAACCAACTGGAATGACATCAGAAGGGTGATGGCATGAGAAATCCCCTTGGTCTCTCCCCCTTGAAATTTTAACACTTTGAGGAATTATAATTCAACAGAGGGTTTTCTGCTCAATGCACAAACATCTCTGAGAGATTTGCACATTGAAACATCTGAAGGTGGACAAGTGGGAACAAACAGGGAGGTGAGAGGGTAGAAGAGATTTGACAAGCCCTGTAGCCCAGAGCTCAGTCTGGGGCTCAGCCTGGAAAGGGGAAGAATCTGGTTGTGGCTTGAACTTTCTTCAGCCAGGAGGAAAGAGATTTAGTAAGAATTCACGCAGGAATGAGCAGTAGTAGCAGCAGCTCAACCCAGTTACCTGGGCAGGGACAAAGGATAGAGATGCTGACTATTAGCAGTTCAGACAGAGAGACAAAGACATGGAGCCAGACTGCTCTCTCCCAGTTTTTCAGAGTTCACCTTCCCTCACCATCCGTATCAGCTTGCAAAGCATGTCTACAAACCCATGAACTGGCACTACAGAAGCACTCTTTCCCTTAGTGAAGGGCATGCACTTCTACCAGTCCCAGGGTTGGGTGGAGTTGCAGAGGAAATTCTGTGGAGGTCCACTGGTCACTATTGCTGGGACAGCAAATCAACAAAGAGGCAGTTGGATACCCCCAGCTCACCCTACACCCACACATTATGACTACACTACCTGAGGATTCTGGCTGTGAAGGACAGCACTGGAATTTCATGCATTTGGATCCTCATTGCCCACTGTATTCCCCTGTAGGCTTGGTTCCCTGGGCCCAGGGAAGCAGGATCACAAGAAAGGCACATACCTCCCCATGGAACACAGAGCATTTTTCACCACCCTACAGAGAGCTGAAAAGCCAGAGAAGCACATGAGAGCTAAAAATCCTATGATTCAGCGCCACTTACTGGAAAATAAAAACAAGTATTTTTTCAAAAAATACTTCTTTGTATTAATCTGAGAAGTGCCACTCATACATAGATGTCTAGACAGGGAAGAAATCCATCAAATACCATAAGTAACCAAGGTAGCAAGGCAGCTCAGAAAGAAAATGGAAAATCTCCAGAAAACAAACATAAAGACATGGAAATATGTGATTTAATGGCAGAGAATTCAAGATTGCAGTTTTGGAAGAACTCAGTGAGATGCAAGAAAACATAGATAGGCAGTTTAATGAACCCAGAAACAAATTCAAAGAACTAAATGAGAGTTTATCAAAGAGTTTTACACTGTCAAAAAAAAAAAAAAAGAACCAAATAGAAATTCTGGAGATAGAGAACTCAATAAAAGATAAATAATGAACTGGTGAGTACAGGAAATAGAGCCTGACCAAATGTAGGAAAGAATTAGTGATATTAAAGATAGAAATCTAGAAATGACATAGAGGAAAGAAGAGAAAGAATTGAGAGAAAAAAGTGAAACAACTATACAAGAACTGAGTCCAAGAGAAAGAACAACGTAAGAATAATAGACATACCAAAAAGTGTATGGGAAAAGGTAATTGAGATCCTATTTAAAAAAAATAAAAGTTGGAGAGAACTTCCCAAACCTATTTTAAAAAGTTTGATCCTTGAATTAGAGGCAAAGAGAATTTAATAGGCCATCTTCAAGGCACATTGTACTTAAACTGTCAAAAACTAATGATGAAAATTTCTCAAGGCGCTGGGGAAAAGAAGAAAATAACCCATAAAGGAAAGACCATTAGGTTATCATTGGATTCTCAGCAGAAACTCTACAGCTAAAAGGAAGTGGAACCAGGAGATTCTGGCCAAGATGGAGGTGTAAGTAGATATGCTTGCCTCTTTGCACAACCAAAAGAAGGAAACAGCCAATTAAAAAACAAATACAACCAGAATTGCCAGAAAATTGAACTGTATGGAAGTCTTTCAACAAGGAGTTAAAGAAGAAACATTCATCCACACTGGTAGGAGGGGCACAGACAGGCAGCTGGGTGGAGAGGACATGTGGCAAGGAGGGAGCTGGTGGTCCCACATTCAAGTGCAGATAAACCAGGAGGAACAACCAAAGGGTGAGGCAGATTGCACAACCCAGGGTTCCAGCAAAATAATGACTCAGAACCTCTGGCTTTAAAAACCTGTGTAGGTTGTGGCAGCAGGAGAAACTGCCAGTCTCTTGAAAGCAGGGCAAGAACCAAGCAAGCAGTATTGTTCCCTCTCTGATCCCTCCCCCACATACAGCACCACAATGCTGAAGAGTGGGTTGTCCCACCCTAGTGAGTACCTAAGGCTCCACCCCTTAAAATGTAACAGGTATGCAGAAACAAAGAACTATGGCCCAAATGAAAGAATAGATCAAAACTCCAGAAAAAGAGCAGAGCAAGGAGGAGACAGCCAACCTATCAGATGCAGAGTTCAAATCATTGGTAATCAGATATGCCCTGACTAGGAATCGAACCAGCAACCTTTTGGTTTGCAGGCTGGCACTAAATCCACTGAGCCACACCAATCAGGGCAGATTTTAATAATTTTTAAAATAAATCCAGAGAGAGAATGGCGGCAAAATAGGTGGGAACTGAGCCCACTTTCTCGTGCACTCAACTGGGGCACTTAGCTGATCCTCTGAAGGACAAAGTGAACAGCTAACAGAATCTTAGCTAATATGAAGTTTGGAAGCCAAAGTGTGCAAAGGACACTTCAAAAGGGGCGGTAAGGAGATTTTATAGGCAAACTAGGAAAGTCCCAGGGCATGGCACCAGAAACCACAGCTGCTGCAGGGGCAACATCTGAGGAGAACCAGGTCTGTGATAGCACCTAGTGGCTCCCTCCCCTTCTGGGGCAGGGATCGCAGACTCACACCAGGAGAGATTTGAAGTGTGAAAAGTGGATGGGGGTGGGGGAGATGGGGAGAAAGGCATGGAGGCATACACACAGCTGGTGGTGCACCCAAGTTGTCACAGTTGTCTCTGGACAGGACAAGGCCAGAGGGTGTGGGGAGGGGAATCCTGGAGGCACCTGGAGCTAGGAAAAGAGCTGCGAATGACTGAACTGAGGTAGACTGTGGACTTACCAGAGAATCTGGAGTATGTGGAAAGCTGTGCAGTGTCTCAGAGTGGTAGTGGTGCCCAAAGAGACTATGCCAAAGGAGGACTGAGATACACTGTGCAGGGGCCTCGTTCATGCTGCAGCCTGGCCAACAAAGAGAGAGGAGTGTGGGCACAATTTGCTCCCATTCAGTGCACCTCAGAATTTATCAAAGGGGTGCAAAGCGAGGTGCTTAACCCTAACCCAGACTGAGCCCCCATACTTGCCAAACCACAGGAAAAGAAAAATGAGCCCAGTCCCTCACTGCCTACAGAAATCAGGAAGATCTATAAAACCCGTAGTGCAAACTTAACAACCAGCAGGTGGCTTCTTTTTTTTTTCAAGAGTAAGTAAGACCTGGAGTTAAGACAAAACTAGACAGATCCAAAAAGAAGTCAGAAGGTGAACACCAAGAATGGAGACAAATTTCACCTTGCTTCATCAGAACTTGCATGTTTAATTTTTTTTCATTTGTTTGTTTTGTTTTTTCCTTTTCCCTTTCACATTACATCTTAATTTTTCTTTCACTTCATTCTTATTCCAAATAACCTACTACTCTTGGTCTTTTACTTTTTATTCTTTTTATTCAGATTATATATTTTTCATCACATTATTGTTGTTCCAAACCCCACAGCACCCTCCCCTGGCCTTAATCAATTGTGTCATCTTCCTGAGCTTTATTACTACTCTTGTAAACTTTATTTTCTCTCACACTACAGCATGTCCTTATTCCCTACACTCACTATTTCTCCTCTCTCTAACCTCACAGAAGTGCTCTTCTCTCTTAAGTCAGCTCACCTTCGTTTTCCCTCTCATAAAAGTCTTATTTCTTTTCCACCTTTTATAAACAGTGGCTAGTTGAGTGAAATGCCATGGTTATTGCTCTAGTTTGCCAACGGAACTCCTATTTATTCACTATTTGTTTGCACTTTATCCCATAGAATACTCATTCCCCGTCTTACTGCATTTCACACCCCCATGCCTCTGATCAGTCGAGTGAGCAATTTTATTTCATTTTTTCCCCTTGCTCAACCTGCGCTTTTCCCAATCCTCAAAATAATTTTTCTTTATGGTAGATATTTCATATTCACTTTTTGCTTTTCCACAACAGTCTTATTCCTGTAACATCTTTATTAAATTCCATTCAGCTGTTGTTGCTATCAGCTTTACTGTGGGTTTTCTCCAATTTGCTCCCATTGGTCCAATACATTTTCAGTTTTACTTGAAACCTCATAGTATACTCTTTCCTTTTCTTATCTCATTGTTCCGACTGTTCTTTTATGTTTTACTAACATTTTTAAATTTTGTTCTCGCCCTTTCTTCACCTTGGTTGTATTCCTACTCTTATCAATTCTCCTCCCTCATGCCACTCAATAACATTTTATCCTATTTTAGTCATTTCATATTCCCTTGGTCCTATCTTATAATATCCATAATCTCTCTTCACATTTATTAATCTTAGCTCATTTGTGGTTGAGATTGCTGATGTGGTAAGGGGGTTCTTTTTGCTTACATAGGTTTGGTTGTCTAGTAATACTGTTTGTTAACCAACACCTGTACATAGCATACAAGGCAAGGTGGGAGTTGTGAATACCAGTAAACCACTGGAGGGGAGAAACCACCAACAACTAAAGCCCAAGTACAATTAGAAAGCCCACACAAACAGAAGAAAGGGCAGCCCTAGAGCATCCAGACAAGGAAATCAAAGAGACTGCACCACTCAGTCCCACAGAAATCAACTCCACAAAAACAGCTGGCAAAGCAGGGCACCCTGAGGCCAACAAAATGCATCACCTAAAATGGGGAGACAAAGAACCCACAATCAAAAGCAATGGAAGACTCCCCAGTAAAAGAGCTAAATGAAATGGAGGCAAGCAAACTATCGATACAGAATTCAGAGAATGTTTATAATGATGCTCAAGGAACTCATTGACAACTACAAGGGACTGAGTGGGAACTACAACAGTATCAAAAAGGAAATAAAAACTATGAACAAGAACCAGAAAGACATGAAGAATACAATATCTAAAATAAAACACTAGAAGGAATTACAAGCAGGCTGGATAAGACAAGATAGAAATACCAAGGCAGAGCAGGAGCATTAAAAAAGAGCCAAAAGTATGAGGATAGCTTAAGGGAACCTCAAGACAACATGAAACACAAGAACATTCAAATCATGGGAATACTGGAAGGAGAAGAAAAGGAGTAAGGATAGAAAACCTGTTTGAAAAAAAAATAATGACAGAAAAATTCCACAGCATGGAGAGAGGAAAAGCCAAGCAAATTCATAAACCCATAAGGTCCCAATCATAGGAATCCAAAGAAGCCTACTCTAAGACACATAGATAAAATGCCAAATTTTAACAACAAAGAGAGAATCTTAACAGTAGAAAGGGAGAAACAGCTAATAACATAAAAGGGAGCTCCATTAAGGCTAGCAGCTGATTTCTCAATGGAAACACTACAAGCCAGAAGGGAATGGCAAGAAATATTCCAAGTAATGATAAAGCAAAGGCCTGCAACCAAGACTACTCTACCCAGCTAGGCTGTCATTTAAAATGGAAGGCAAAATAAGGAGTTTCCCAGGCAAAAGAAGGTAAAAGAATACACCTCTACCAAACCAGCATTGCAAGATATTCTAAAATGAAAGCTTTAAGAAGCTGAAGGTATAGAGTGAGAGAGAAGAACACAGGTACAAAAGGGACAAAATGACAGTGATTACATACCTTTCAGTAGTAACATTATATGGAAATGGATTAAATACTCCAATCACAACACCCAGTGTAGCTGAATGGAGAAGAAAACATGACCTGCATATATGCTGTCTTTCAAGAGA